CAAACCACAGGCGCTTAGAGATTACCGTATCTGGAAGGTCGATCGCCCCCCGGCGCGTCTCCGGTGGTGGACAATCACAAGGGCCGGCGTGAAGCTTGGGGCTGGCTGCCATTCCATCCTTTGGTTCATCTCCTCGGTGTGGATAAAGGGAAAAAGGCGGGGAAGAAGAAACTAACAACTACTACGTACTACAATCAAGTCTGATTGACTGTCCGAGTGTAACACGCCATTGCTAGATTACGTATGATATGATACTCTGTATGGATGGTGGTATCATTTTTTCCCATCACTCGCGCCACGTTCTCATCCGGCTTAATGGTTCCCACTAGGTACGATCTCGATACGGACCCGATCTCGCAAGGGCCTCCGGAGACGGTGACTAGAGCCTCTTGGGAAATTTAAGAGAGCTCGTTCCAATTCATAAGCTTTCTCTCGACCTGCAAAAACTCTTCACACGCTTTTCAATAGTTTGGGCGCAAAGATCCATCCGATGCGGTTGGGTGCGACATTAGGGCGTTCTAATTTGGGGATAATCAGCCAATCTTTCTCCCAAAATCAGCCGGATCTTCGGCGGTGGATGGTTTCTTTTGGCTCAAAAAGGCAGCTCTTCCTTGGCACACCTGATGACGACACTTGCAGTCACTGAGATCTTCCACTCTCCGACACAACGACACTCAACTTACTTTCTCCTGGAAGTTTATATCCGGGTTTGTTGGCATTGCAGCCTCGGTCTGCAGACAAGTCATCCGCCTATATTTTTGTAGAATGAAGGATAACAATTGTGCCTGAACATATTATGCATGTAATTGTGCTCTGCTGTATGTGTGTGTGTGTAATCTGTAATGAATTGGCCCAAGTGCCCAGCCACCCCAGTTCCAAACTAGTCTAGTACTGGTCTGCGGACTATTGATTGCCGGATCGGGCCAGGATGCCCGACGGCCTCATGGCGCCCCACTCCATGTGCCTGAGTGCCTGAGGCTCACAGGCATTCAAGCAAGGTGGGGTTGGAAAGTTCTCCAAAGATGGAATGCGTCGAATCATCCAGAGTCTAATCCTGGGATAATCTCCCCGCTTCGGCATCGGCCTGCAATTCATTCTGTCCGAGTTTCATCCCGTCAATTTTTACCCCGCATCACTCTTAGAATCCTCCTGGTCTTCGGATCTTGCATACACAGCACATCAAAAATCATGGCCGACGCAGAGCTTGAAGAGGTCAGTATGAATCCTTTCCACCTACATTTAATTTTCCCCGTCTTCATGGGTGTCCTTGCTTGATGAATATCCGGATCCGCGCCTTCGACACTCTTCGTATCAAATGCTTAAATCTGGTATAGATCAGACGGGCCCGTCTTGCCCAGCTTCAGCAACAGGGTGGCGCACGTGGTGGCCCTTCGGACGGCAACCAAGAGGAACAGAGAAGGTATGATTCCTAGACCTCGTCTTTGCTTCTTCATTTGTAAATCTTTACTGACTTGTCGCTCCACTCTAGGCAAGCTGAAGGTATGCGCAAACTCATAACCCATTAGATTAGGGCATGCTGGAGGAATCTCTCTGCCTACATTACTCTCTCGAATAATTTGCTTATTCCTTTACGAATAGCCGACCGCCGCGCCACTATTCTGAACCAGATTCTCGAGCCCGAAGCTGCCGATCGTTTGGGTCGCATCCGCCTTGTCAAGGAATCCCGCGCTGCTGACGTCGAGTCCCGTCTCATCATGCTCGCCCAGTCCGGCCAATTGCGCCAGAAGGTTACCGAGGAGCAGCTCAAGCAGCTGCTGAACGCTATGGCCGAGAACCAGCGTAAGGATGAGGAGGAGCACAAGATTGTGATCAACCGGCGCGGCGGCTGGGATGATGATGACGACCTGTTGGATCTGTGAGATGTGTTTTTAGCGAAGGGTGTTCAGTTTGTGCTGAATGCTTGCCATGTTCAATGATACCTCCAGCTCTCGGATTTACACCTTCACGACCAGAGCAGCTTGCAGCTGAATTTCTGCTACGACAAAAGTACAGTTTTTTCCAACTTGATAGTCCATCAACAGTTCCTCCACCAAGGACCTAATGATACTTGGCCGAGTAATCATTCAGGAAGTGGCCATTCCTCATATAATGATACAGAAATATAGCTTCCTCAACAGGAAGCAAGGAATATAATACATCTAATAATAAGCATACTGATCCCATCAGAAGCTATTGCCCCCTCTGCTCCATCAACTCCTTCTCCCTCTTCTTCTGCATCCGAATCATCCGCCTAATCTCCCTCATATCCGGCGGCCTTTCAATGCCCAACTCCGCCCTCAACTCCCCGACATCCTTCTCCAACACCTTCTCCCAATAAACATTAATCAACTCCTTACTCTGCAACCCACTCTTCAACGCCCACGGCAAATAAATCGAAAACAGCCGTTCCCTCTCCGCAGGCTTCAACCTCACCGATGCAAACAAACTCAATCCAGTCATGGGAATCAACGTATTCAGAAACTCAAACGCCTTGAGCGCTAGCTCGCCCTCCACGAAGATCGGCAATCCCGTCACAGCATGGTAGAAATCGTGGCACTCGCGGTACCGCTGCATGACGTACGCGCATTCCTCGTCGTCAATGTACTGCACATTGTCCCGGGTGTCCGGGGACACGCCTTCGCGGTCCAACCAGGTAGCGTAGGTCCGGCCGACGGTGTTCTCGGGGAGGGAGCGGAGGTATGGCAGTTTGAGGGTCTCGGAGGTGATGCGCGGACGATCGCGGAGGATCTGTCGGCCTGTTGGGTCGGAGAGCATGGCGTCGCGGAGCCGGTAGATGAAGTAGGGTGTTGCAGTGGCTTCGCCGCAGGCGGCGATTAGGTCTTTTATGATTTATTAGCTACAACGTAGTATACTAGGTATGAGGGAGGTATATATACCAGCTCTTCGGGGGTTAAGAAGAGAACCCACAGCTGACCCAATGGCCAGAGCACCGCGCTCTACAAAGTTCAATGGCACATGGCCGGGATAGTTAGGCGGAGGACGGTTGAAGCCGGAGAAAGGCCGTGAGTGGGCGCGGAGCGACAGTGGTGCTGCGCAGGAGAGGATATTGTTTAGCTCGCGCGCGTGCTGGACGGCGCTGCGCGTCCGGAGGACTGTCATCGTGTGTCGAGTGAAGGGTAACACGTCGCAATGGACATGGTCCTTGGGCCGGATGGATGTAGATGAGGGTGTGGTACGATGGGATGCTTTCGGAGCCGGATGGCGCTAGTGGTGGATGTGCGGTGCCGTAGGGCTGATAAAGATCGATAAGATAATCTTTTTCTTTATCGGCGGTTTTTTGGCGCATCTGATCGTCTCTGCTTGAATTGTCATTGAGGGATACGGAGGCATTGATATCGCTGAATGTACATTGCTTAGGGAATAATTACGCAGGCTCAATCAGGAAAGCTTTGTTTGTTCTCAACTTTCCTAGAAACACTTGTCATACCCCTCCTCATCCTTCAATCCCCTCCACACCAACAACTTACCCCTCAATTGTCTAAACCGACTGTCAACATGAAGCCCACCTGGTGGCCCGGCGAGAAGCACGAGCTCTTCACAGAATGGGCTAAATCACAAGGCATCGTCATCAATGGGGTCAGTCCAGCGCGATTCCCCGGCCGCGGTCTCGGTATGATCGCAACGCGAAAGATAGAAGTACATCCCCACGCTTACACCCCCTCAACCACATACATACAAACTAACATTCATACGATATCAACAGAAAGACTCCATCCTCGTCAAAGTCCCTCACTCCGCAATGCTCACGCCCTCCAAACTCCCATCCACCTTCACCTCGCGCTTCCCACCAGACACACCAACCCACACCCTCTACGCCGCATACCTCACTAACGCCAGTCCCTCCCACATAAAACCATGGCGCAACACCTGGCCCACAATGGAAGACTTTACTTCCAGCATGCCGATCTTCTGGTCTTCATCTTCCCCCCTATCACCCAGCAGCACCAGAAACACCAGCAAAATCCAGGACCTCCTCCCCCCCTCCATCTCCAACACCTGGAGCACCATAAGCCCCGGGAAACGGAAACACAAGTATGATACACGGCATCAGAACCTCCTCAAAACACAAGAAACCCGTCTCCGCAAAGCATGGGATATCGTTGTCCGGGTATTCCCCGAGACTGATAAAGAGCTGTTCACGTACCATTGGGTGATTGTGAACACGCGAAGCTTCTTTTATCTTCTGCCCGGGGCAGAAATGCCGGAGGATAGGAATGATGCGATGGCGTTGGTGCCGTTCGCCGATTATTTTAACCATTCGGATGTGGCGGTATATACCTTCCTTTCTATCTGTGTATGTTGGATGAGTTGGCTAACGTGAGATATCGTGGATGGATAGTGTAATGTCAAGTTCGACGGGGAGGAGTATGTCTTTCGTGCGGCGAAGGAGTATAGTACGTTCTTTACCTCCATTTCTATCATGGCGTTCTGGAAACGAAGAAAGTGGTATACTGATATGATATACAGACGAAGGAGAGGAAATCTACATGAGCTACGGCCCTCATTCGAACGATTTCCTGTTCACAGAATGTAAGGCCCCCATGCCCTACAATCCCACATCACCATTCATACCCCTAATCAACCCATCTAGACGGCTTCTACCTCGACACCAACGCCTCCGAAACCCTCTATCTCGACGAGATAATCCTGCAGGACCTGAACGCCTCAAAACAAGAAGAACTCGAGTTCCACCAATACTACGGGTACGCCTCCCATTCACTTATCTATCACCACACACCACTAACGAAGCCATAACCAAACACAGTAACTACCAACTCACGTCCGAGGGCGTCTGCTACCGAACAGAAATCGCCGCCGGACTAACCTACATGCCACTACGACTTTGGCAGGACTATGTGCTCGGATACTCGACCGACGGGGTGGACGAGAAGATGTCTGCGGCTGTGATTCGGGGTTGGATTGGTGTGTATATCAAGGAAGCGGATGAGGCGGTGGCGCGGTTAGAGGATTTGTATATTGCACAGACGGAAGATCAGGGCGTGGTTAGGATGTTGTTGAAGAGGTGGAGGCAGATTAGGGCGCTTTGTGAGGAGGCGATTGATCGGGTGTCTTCATGACATGATATCATTTCTATCTGGGGATGGAGATGTGTATAGAATAAGGAAGGGGTATATTAACTAGTAGTATCAATCGGTTCAAATATAAGTACAGGCATCCATTCTGGAAAGTCTACAGAATGTCGATCGGGATGGCGCTGGCATCTCGTTGCTTCGACGTGTGCTGCTTGCTCAAAACCAGGTGCTTCATCATGTAGTTCACCACGCACTTGATACCGAGTTCTTCGCCTCTGCGCACGATGTAGCCGTTCAGATATTCGATCTCGGTCGTCTTGCCGGCTCGTACGTCCTGCAGCATGGAGCTGTGGTTCTTCGCTGTTTTGCTGGCAAGCTGCGTGACCATCCAGCGTAGTCGTTCTGGGGAGAATCGGCTCTCAATGCCTGGGATTCCCTGTAGTTCGGGAAGGGCGCAGATCACGCTCGAAATCTCATGAAGGAGCAATCGCGTCACGCGAGTGAAGCTGTAGTTGTAGAGGAGCTCGCCGTTTTCGCAATTCATCACAGCCGTTAGCGGGTTAATGACGGCGTTCATCGCCAGCTTCTCGAGCTGGTAGAGCATAAGAGCGGACGGAGCCTCCGCGACAGCAACCAGTGGCGGAGTGAGAGTCATGGTCCGCAAAAGGTACTTCGTGCTTGCAGCCCAGTCATCCTCGTTTTCGCTAAGCGGAGTTGTCGAGTTCGAGGGCAGGGCCGGTCCGAGAATGGTCGTGCCGATGCCCGTATGGGCGACCTGAAATGTTTCTTTTCTGCGGGCCAGCCCGTGCGAGACAATGCCTTGCATGTAGTTCGGGCGTTTGCGGGGATCAGGGAAGACCTTCTCGTTGAGCTCATCAATGACGCCCATGCCGTTTTGAAGTAGTAGAACTGTGGAGTCGGGTGTCAGGCGATGCTTGACGGACTCCAAAGCCATAGCCGTCACCGGCGCCTTGACACTGACGACCAAGCATTCAATGCGCTCCTCATCTTGGACAGACCCGGTTAGGGAGCCTTCAACATCGCCCTCATCGGCCTGAGCCATGGCTTCCCCGGTCTTGCCGTTTTTATCCCAGTATGGGAATGCATGCCATGCTTTGCCATTCAGGACGTTGACATCGAAACCCGTCTTGATATCGTCCAATCCATTCGAGTTGATTGCTAAGCACTTTTTTCTCCCCAGCCATGACTTGTACAGATTGGGGTTATGCAAGAGTAGAGTGACAGGCGGAGGTGACGGACGACTTGCGAGAGAGTGGGCAACAAATGTGCCTACATTCCCAAGGCCTAGGATATGTATGCGTCCAGATAGTCGGCGCTTTCCACTGTCTTTCGACGCTTCTTCGGCGTTTTGCATCCAGGTCGATACGAATCGACCATATGATTTGGGGTGCGAACTACGTCTTTTAACAAGACATAATTCGCAGACTGTCCGCCGAAGCGGACTGCGCCCCAGTATGTACGACACTTTGACGGCTGGAGAGTAAATATAGAGAGTCCGAGATCACGCGCCGTACAAGCTGAGAGGTGATGGTAATATAATCACCGTCTCATTATAAGATGAAGCAAATGACAATTGCCCCAAGGACTCACAGTCCTAACAACGATATGCAAACTAACAGGAAGATATAGATCGAGAGTGAAGTCGGCATCGCATGAGGGAGAAGGCGGACAAATAGCTCTTCACCGCCTTAGAGACCGCCCGGAGATAAAAAATCGACATTATCCGCTTCTTTTCAATCCAACATCATCGATTCCTCCCCAGATAATCGTACACATAATCAAAATGGAGGCAGCAGATCTACTTCCGCTGCTCGAGCAGCTGGATGACAACATCGATGATCTTGAAGAGGCTCTGAAGCCCATTCTGGACAGCTCCGTGGTGGAGACGTCGAAGAAGCTTCCAGTGATGGATAAAGCGAAATTCCACGTCTTGGTGACTTACGCGCTGGAGTCTCTTATTTTCTGTACGTCACCATTGCAGCTGGAGCGAGCTTGATTGCTAATTTCTACAGCGTATCTGCGTCTTCATGGCGTCAATGCTAAGGAACACTCCGTGTTTAGAGAATTAACTAGAGTCAAGCAATATTTTGCGAAGATCACCGCGCTCGAAGCGGAGCCGGAGAAGCGTACTCTAACTCTTGACAAGCAGGCTGCCAGTCGCTTTATCAAGCATGGTCTTGTGAGTTACTCTTACACGGCACATTTAGGGGTCGAGGCTAATTGAGTAGGCTGGAAATGACAAAATCGACCTGGCGCGCAAGGAGCAGGAGGCAAAGGAGAGGGCACGCGCTCAGCTAAAGGCATCGATACTGGCTAAAAAAGCAGGTGCTACGTCTCAGCAGTCATCGCAGAATGCGACAAGCAACTCCGAGAGTGAATCCGAGTCCGAGGAGCTTGTGAAGCCCGCACCTAAGCCGTCGGGCAAGGGTTCTGATGATAAGAAGAAGCGCAAGGACAAGCAGAAGAGGAGGGTCAGCAAGGAAGAGCACAATGAGAACAAGAAGGAGCGGAGAAAGAAGAAGGATGAATTGCGCAAGACGAAGAAGTTGAAATGAGGAGGTAGCGATTTATGTCGATCTGCCGGCTGGACCGGTTGAGGGGCTGTCTGTTACTGGGATTGCAGCACTTCAATAACGAGTGACGCGCAACCATCTCAGCAACAGATATTGTCTACAGGCTTGCTGCCACGAAACTACTAAAAGTACACATGGAATGATGATACCCACCGCATAGAGGACAGCCTCAATGAATCTGTTGAAAGACGAGTACAGTGAGGAACCGGGTGCATGCCATGGTCACAGTAGACCTGGTGTAGGAACGGACAAAGTCTTCCATGGACTACTATACGATTCGAGTCATTTAGTCAAAGCAGTGGCAAGTGACTGACAGCGAGAGAATGTTCATGCTCAGCCCTGTGGATCATGGCAATGCAGTGAGTCACTGCCGGAGTTAAGCAGAACATGTGCGGATAACTTCAGATCCACTGTTCTGTAAGACTCGAACGTGGTCTCCACTAAGTAGCGAATATCACATCCACTAGCAATAAAACAAACCAAAATGACAATAATATATCCCTCAATTTCCATTCTAAACCCATCCATCCTCGGCATTAAAGCAACGATCAACCGTAAGCGCCGGGACCGGCAGCTGACCTAACGTCCGAAGCAACCAATCAGGAACGGGAGAATAACCAGGGCGATCGGAGTTTTCGAACTTTCTCCGCCCGACTTTCGAGCTTCTTCTTTTCCGACTATAAAACAACTCTCTCCACCCGCTTCCCAACACTTTAACTCACATACAACATCCACACCTACACCTCTCCCTTAACCACCCTCACAACCACCAAAAAACCAACACACAAAATGCCTCGTCAACGCCGTGGTGCCGCCCCTACTCCCGCGCGCAGCGCTCCCACCCGCCCTACCGCTGCTCCCGCCAGACCTGCTGCCGCCCCTTCTTACGGCCAGCAACAGCCTCACTCCACTGCTGCTCACCCCCAGCAGCAGCACCACGCTGCCCCTCCAGCTGCTGCCCCCGCTGCCACTCCCGCCGCTGCTCCCGTCCAGCAAAGCCAGGGCCCCGGTCTCTTCGGCCAGATGGCCTCGACTGCTGCGTACGTTGCCACACATACATCCCATACCCTCAAACACCACCCACCCATCCAGGAACCAAAAGCTAACCAATGTATAAAAATAGTGGTGTCGCCGTCGGCTCCTCCATCGGCCACGCCATCGGCGGAATGTTCTTCGGCGGTGGTGGCGGCTCCAGTGCTCCCGCTGAGGCTCCCCAGCAGGCTGCGCCGGCTCCCGCTCAGGCCATGGACAACGGTCTCTGGGCTGGAAACGCTACCAACAGCTCTTGGGAGGCGCCGGCTTGTGCCACGGATGCGCAGAACTTCCGCAAGTGCATGGATGAGAACAAGGGTGATTTGACGATCTGTGGGTGGTACTTGGATCAGCTGGTAAGATCTATTTCCTTCTTCCTCCCTGGTGGGGGAAGTGTTGGGTGATTGTGGGCATATGCTAATGGGTATTGTGTTTATAGAAGGCTTGCCAGGCTGCTGCTAAGCCGTACTAAATGGAGATTGAGTATCGAAGGTGAGATTGATGATGGTGGATGAGATGAATGATTTTTTTTATGGATGGATGGGCAATATATGGCATAGTGGTGGATTAGCCCGTTATTTCTCTCTTATTTTATTTTATTATCTATTACCCCTTTGTATAACATATACCACTTTGGAAGCTTACTACCCTTTTTTTTTATGGGTTGGCTATGTCTGTGATGGGCATGCATGGACAGGAACTGATTGAAAATATAGATAAAAAAGGATCATTCCACTCTTCATGTGTTTGTTTCATTCGTTTGGTTACGGTACTTAGATTTGTAGATGATAAATGATAATATATAGGCTTATATCATTCTCATAGAGGTACATACATGCTTCGCTGCAAGCGAAGGAAGTAGTAGGAGTTTGATACATACATAGCAGGAACTCCAGTATATTGCACTAGGACATGGCTCACTATCGTCTGTCTCCGTCATTTCGGGGCTGAAAGTTCAACTATACACAGCCATTAGCATATGAACACCCATCTTTAACATCAGTACTTACCTGATTCCCATTATAAAACTGCCGATCATCCCCTTCATTCTGCGCATCCCTCAACGTCCGAATAATCGGTCCTCTGGAGGCGTTCACCCGTCTGCGTCCCGCATCATTCGATCCCGAAGACGCCGTGCTAGCAGTTGGCGCAGCCTCACTGCCCGACGCCTGCGTCGTTCCGTACCCAAAGAACGATCCCACAAGCCCCGTCGCAGTACCGACCGCCGACGACACCAGTCCGTAGGCAGACGACACCGCTCGGACTGGCAGACTCGCCCCCGCGCCGGAATACGCCTCCGTGTAGGACTGGATCGGAACCATCACCAGGTTCGCGGAGCTGCCGAGTCCCAGCTCGGCTAGAGTTTGCTCCTCGTCGGCGATGGTGAGGGTGCGATTCGGGAGAGGCGTCAGGATGTGTTTGAGGTTGTAGGGGCTGCGCTCTTCCATCTGACCGTCAAGCCAGGGACGAACGTCGTTGCGGATAGTCTGGGTGGGAGTGAAGCTGGAGCGCACGGAGCTGCCGTCGAAGAGACGCACTTGGAGACGGTATTGTTTCGGAGGGGAGGGTGGGCGCCGTTCAGCGGGCTGGGTGGCGGGCTCCTTGGGCGTGACGGAGGAGGATGGCTTATCTTTGGGGGTAGACTTGGGTTTGGGTTTGCTCTCTTGTGTGACTGGTCGGGGAGTCGGCTTAGGTGCTGGCTCTTGCTCCTGTTGTTGGAGTTTCTTGGTCGGGGACGGACGTTGTTGCTCGGCTCGCGCATCGTCTACTCGTCTCTTTCCTTCACGGATAGCTGCATCGCGGGGTTGCTCTGGCTCATTTGTGGAGGGTTGGGGTGCAGGCTGAGATGGAGCTGACTCTGCAGCAGGCGCTAGTGTCGGTACAGGCGTAGAGGACACAGGTTCCGGCGCAGGAGGAGACACAGTCGCAGGAGCATCAGAAGCCACCGGCGCAGACATCGTCTCACCAGCAGCAGCACCTGCACTCCCTACATCCTGCTGAACCGGCGCGCGACTCTCATCCAGCTTCACAAGTAGGCGATCGCGAAAGTCCTCCTTGGAAATATCCGGCACGAGGTAATCGCACATCATACCATTCCTGCGACGGTCAACAACTTCCCTAACCCAAGTAGTAGAGCACATACTTTATCACGACGACGGTAGGAAACTTGACGATGGGACAAAAAGAGGCCAGAAAGCCCGCTTCCTGACTACCTTTGGTGAAGCGCAAGAGGACAGCTTTCGATTGGAGTAGTTGCGATAACTGCGCATCGTTAGCAGATGCAGAAACATACGTATATGATATGTTGCATACCTCCTCGTCAAACGTAAAGTAGCTCTCCTCCCATTCTGTGCTCGTCTGCTCATCATCTATGTAGCCGTGTCAGTACTGCGGAGTATCGCCGAGCTCCAGCATCCCTCTATTCAATGCCTGTAGAAAATAACGAACCTCTAACGAAGCAAACGACAGCCTTGCTCTCAGCGACCGCCGCAGCGATACCCTCCTGTAAGCTCCCAGAGTAGAACATCTTGCGTCTTACTTCCCGAGTATGTGAAATAGACAAGTGACAATGGAGCTACCGACTGACACCCGCAATCGATAAGCCGACAGTCCGCATCGGCGGAAAAGACCCCGTCCCGACCCGCTCTCTCTTAATCTTCCACTGGCACTTTCAATCCCCAACTGCATCCAACTCGATCAATCACACCAGAAACCACACACAACAGCGCGCAAAATGCGCTCCCTCCTCTCCGTCCTCTCCCGGACGGGCACAAGAACCACCCCCCTACGCCCCGCATCCTCAATTCTGCGCACCGCCCTCAACAGAACAGGAACAGCAGCAGGACCGGACTCCCTCTGCACTCGCTGCCTCCGCCGAACCAACAACACCACCCAGCTTCGCTTCTACAACAACAACCAATTCAACGACGACCAGCGCTGGCTCTCCGTCGTCGACGCCCCCTCGCAAGTTGTCCGCACAGGCCGGAAACATGGTCCGGGACTGATCATTCTCGGTGC